GCAGAGAATTGCAATAAAGATGGATGTGTGATTGTAGTAAAAAAAAATTGAAAAAAATAGAAGAAAAAGCAGTGGTATTATATTTTTTCAATGTAGTTATGAACAAAAAAAAACATACCTAGGTGAGACAAAAAGAAAACTTAAAATACATATTAAGGAACATATTAGAGCAATTAAAGGAAATTATGCAAATTCAGCAGTTGCAGAGAATTACAATAAAGATGGATGTGTGATTGACTTAAATACAATAAAGGTGAAGAAAAAAGAAAGAAATGGATTTAAAAGATAATTATTGAACATAAAAAGGCAAATTAATAGAATAAATAATAATTTAGGAAGAGAAAGCCATCAATCATGGAATAGTATTGTCTATAGAGAGAGTGATGTGTAGAAAGGCATTTAAAGAGGGAATGAAAGAAAAGAGAAGTCTAATAAGGTTCTGGATAAGCTAGTAAAACCAATTTTTAAAAATCCTTTTAGAAAGCTTAAAATTTTAAACANCTATTTTAGATGCAATTTTTTGCATTTTTGATTGCGTTTTAATAGGGTACATCATGAGAATGTACACTAAGAAGGGATTTTTCAAAATTCCCCCCGTATTAAGGAACATATTAGAGCAATTAAAGGAAATTATGCAAATTCAGCAGTTGCAGAGAATTACAATAAAGATGGATGTGTGATTGACTTAAATACAATAAAGGTGAAGAAAAAAGAAAGAAATGGATTTAAAAGATAATTATTGAACATAAAAAGGCAAATTAATAGAATAAATAATAATTTAGGAAGAGAAAGCCATCAATCATGGAATAGTATTGTCTATAGAGAGAGTGATGTGTAGAAAGGAATTTAAAGAGGGAATGAAAGAAAAGAGAAGTCTAATAAGGTTCTGGATAAGCTAGTAAAACCAATTTTTAAAAATCCTTTTAGAAAGCTTAAAATTTTAAACAAGTTTTATTCTTTTTTTATACAGGCAAGCTTCCTTCAGAATTAACATTATGTTAAGAATGATTATAGGGATGCTTTAGGGCTATATTTTTGTGTTAATGATAGACAATAGGGAGTCTAAGTTATTTTACACATCTTAAATACAATTGTCAGGTATAATCCTGTTATAATTTTTTAAAATAAGTTTATTTAAAAATTTTATAGAATTGTATTGTAAACTTGAAGAGTGGCCACCAGGTTCGAAACAAAAATATGAAGTGAAAATAAAAATTGTTTTTTTGAATAAGATATCCTCTATTTGCTAAAACAAATCATCATCAGTGTAATAAGTCCTATTAGTATACAAAGTCCAACATAGACAATGATATAATAAAGTAAGGAGAGAGAGGCAAAAGAATTATCATGTGGATAGTCCCCATTTCTGATACACTATACGTAAACTAGTCCTTTGACATTTGGAGCAACAAGTACTTCTGGTCTTTCAAGATCGCATCCTCCTTTACTCTAGATCAGGGGTGGCCAACTTTTGTGTACATAAGATTTACTTTTTTTATCTTAAAAATGTGTTGCGATTGACTTGTTGTCGTAGGGATAGTCTAAGTAGCAAGGGGATGGTGTGAAATACATACTATGTTTAGATAGGTAAGAAAAGCCACAATTTAATTTAAAACATGAACAAAAGGTACATTGTAAACAGAAGAAAAATTAAAACTCAACATTGTCACTTTCGGGACCACCACTTCACCCTTCCTCTTTCTACCGTGTCCCGACCACTCTCCCTGTCCCTCTTCCTAGCTTTTTTTTTGTTTTACGATCCTTTGTCTACATTTCTTATTCCCCTTTTACAATTGTATGCAAATGAATAGCACATGGACCGACAAAACCGCATCTGAGGGAGGACGTGGTGGTCCAATATCACTATATTTGCGTTTGCACGTTACGTTCGGTTACAAGTGTAACACATTAATTCAAGACATCGCGAGCGATCGATCAACATTGGCTTTGTGATCGACTGGTTAATTGCGATCGACTTGTTAGCCACCCCTGCTCTAGATACATTGACGACAGTCTCAAATAATCTACTGTCCCAAAAACCAGTAAATGAGCCTCTGTATTGTGAATCAAAGCAGTCATCTTGTGCAGCTCAGATTTAATGGTAAAAGCCTGAAGACGTCCATTTAATATGGAGGAAAATGTTTGATTTTTACCATTTACGTTGCTTTTTAGTTTTGGGACGTAATTTAAGATTAACTAGTTTTTAGCAGTTATTTGATGGCAATCTCATTGGTCCAGTGTTCCACATATTCAAACCTTACTTGATATCATCAGTAAGGTTTGAATATGTGGAACACTTGATAACCCATATGGATTAATGTTAAAAACTTGGAATAGAAGAGTGAAACAGGTACACTTCCTGGATCTCTTCTTCACTTTCAATAAAGGAATACTAACTTGTCAGTACTGATGTATATTAAGACCTCACACAATCCTCTTAATATATTGATATTATCATCACTTGAAATTAGTAACATAAAAAACTTAAATGACATTTATACAGTTATAGTACAACAGTCTAATGTTTGTACTTATTATAGGAAGAGCCCTAGCATCAACTGCCTACTTTAGAATGACAAGGATCCACCTAATTGAACATTCTTCTAGAAGTTTATTCCATACCTCTACAAGACAACAGGATAGGACATTCTTATGAATACATTAGTGCCATTGTAGAGCTTTATAGATTAGAATAAAGACTGAATTCAAAAGCACTGAACTACAATTACTCTAGCAACCTTTGCATTGGATTGGGATGTCAACATGTTTTTTGACAAAGCTCGGCTGATCAGCACACACAACTAAAATATTTGGGAATGCTCAACAATATAAAAAGTGCTTAATAAAGGGACTGCAATCAAAAATAAAAAGGTAGCACTTTTGTCATATGCCTGGAGGACATTTCTTGAGCTTGATTAACTAACATACATTTTGTGTATACATTTGTTGTGTTTTATAATTTTTATCTTATTTTCTTTATTTTTAGCATCATTTTGTAATTTTTATTTCTTTATTATGATAAATTGTAAACCTATTTTTTTGTTTATCTTTGCGCATATGATATTTTATACAATGTAAACTGTTAATCTTTGAAACTATTCCATTCTCGTTCAAATCTGAGGATGACCTTTACAAAAGGTCAAAAACATTTGTTTAATTAATAAATTGATGTTACTTACTGGATTAAAGTGTCTGACTTAATTATACAGTGAACATCCAGTTACTGCAGTATTTTATTTAATTTTCAAAAAAGTCTATATATATATATCTCAATTTTGTTTTTTAACTTTTCTTTATTAAATTACGTTTCATTCAAGATTCTAAAATCAGAATGTCTAATATTCTGTAACAATCAGCGCTTGATGTAGGCCCGAAAGAGGCTAAAAACATTGTTTATATTTAATTCAAATACATATTTTCTGGATGATTGTATGTATGGTTTGTAGTTTTAATTTAAAGAAATAAGTTGGACTGGAATAATAATATAGTAAGAGTAAAAACAAAAATTTATGAAACTAAATAAATTATAAAACTATGAATTCATTAGCCAGTAAATGACAGAAATCCTCAATCATTAGATCATCATATTAAGCCGTATTTTTAGTACAAAATATAAAAAAATTAAATTTTTTTTTCTCTTTTGCTTTACTCCTAACTTATAATCATCAATATAGGCATTTTGAATATCTTTGCATAAGCTTATTTATTTAGAAATATTTTGTATTCATTTTCTTATAGTAATAAAAATTCAAATTTTGTAAGCTTTGAGTTTACTTACAGCTCTGTTTTCCAAATCAATTTTATTTCCAACAACTACAAATGGAAAATTCTCAGGATCTCTAGGTGAAGCCTGAATCAAGAATTCATCTCTCCAGGAATCTAATGACTTGAAGGTACTTGGTGCAGTGACATCAAATACTAATACACAGCAATCAGCTCCTCTATAAAATGCTACTCCTAAAGATTGAAATCGTTCCTGTCCTGCAGTATCCCAGATCTAGATGAAATTAACAAAAATATATTCAGTTTAAAAATTAGTTTGATAATGCCATACAAAATTGTGTGAAAACTTATTTCATAACTTAAATTATTAAATACATAGAGATAAAATAAATATTTAAAATGTTTTCTTTTGTTAAGTAATAACACATTTTCAAAAAATTTTAATACTTGAAAAACTAGAATTTTTCAACTTGTGTAAAAAATCTCAAATATATACTTGTTCAATAAATTGATGGATTTGTGGACAAATGTCATTCTTAAATTTTTAAACATAATATAGTGAAAAAAGTTCAAAAGATGTTTCATTTCCAATTAGGATTTTTATTAATTTTTCAAAATTTATACAAAGTTTTGGAAATTATTTTATATATACAAGTTATATTAGTTTCATAGACTGACTTGACTGCAGAATATATGAGAAGTAGAGATAAATTTTATAACTGTCTTTAATAGCATGAATTCTTAAATCTCTAATTTCATGTAGAGAAAATAACAAATAGCAGTGTGGATCAAAGATCAAATTGCAGTTATCTTTTGTCCTAAGTTCTATTTTAAATTTTTGAACAACCTAATAGGATATGTATGATTATTATTTACTTAGTCTTGTAAAATAAATTAGGTAATAAGTTACATTAAAAAACCTTTTATTTAGAAAAATGCAAGATAAAAATTTAGACAATTTTAGGATGCTATTTTAGAAAAGGAATATGCAAAGTTTTGAATATTCAGGTATTACATGAGTATTTTAGCACTTTTAAATGAATATTTGCAGATATTCAGTTACAAAGTTAAATTTTTCTTCTGCAATAATGTCTAAATTATTTAGCTTTCTTTATATTTTTCATGTAATTATCAAGTTTGTAGATACTACAAATTTGGTTTATTCAATTATTTTCAACTTTTTATCAATAAACTGAAAGCTAAAAACAACATAACATAGCTCTCACACAATCCTCTTAATATATTGATATTATCATCACTTGAAATTAGTAACATAAAAAACTTAAATGACATTTATACAGATATAGTACAACAGTCTAATGTTTGTACTTATTATAGGAAGAGCCCTAGCATCAACTGCCTACTTTAGAATGACAAGGATCCACCTAATTGAACATTCTTCTAGAAGTTTATTCCATACCTCTACAAGACAACAGGATAGGACATTCTTATGAATACATTAGTGCCATTGTAGAGCTTTATAGATTAGAATAAAGACTGAATTCAAAAGCACTGAACTACAATTACTCTAGCAACCTTTGCATTGGATTGGGATGTCAACATGTTTTTTGACAAAGCTCGGCTGATCAGCACACACAACTAAAATATTTGGGAATGCTCAACAATATAAAAAGTGCTTAATAAAGGGACTGCAATCAAAAATAAAAAGGTAGCACTTTTGTCATATGCCTGGAGGACATTTCTTGAGCTTGATTAACTAACATACATTTTGTGTATACATTTGTTGTGTTTTATAATTTTTATCTTATTTTCTTTATTTTTAGCATCATTTTGTAATTTTTATTTCTTTATTATGATAAATTGTAAACCTATTTTTTTGTTTATCTTTGCGCATATGATATTTTATACAATGTAAANTAGAATTGTTGCAACAAAGCAGGATTTTTAATTTCAAAGTGTAATAAAGACATTAAAAACTGCATTCAAAATCTAAATCTCTCTTAAATGCTTCACAAATTTATAAAAAATGTTGCTAAAATTACATTGAATAATATTCCATACGTCAATATTACAGAATATTATTCATTGTAATTAATAATAATATTCCATGTTTTATGGAATATTATTATTAATAACGAAAATTTGGAACTTTGGAAATTAAAACGAAAATTTGGAACTTTATTTTAACTTCATATATTTATTTTGGACAGCGTTCAATTCACCCGAAATTCTTTCCTAGCAACAATTAAAATAAAGATAGGAAGCGTAAATTTAAGATTTCTTACATTCTCTAGACATTTAAAAGCATAGAACTCTCTATCTGTCTATTATCTGTCGTATCTAGATACAACAGATAACATACTGCTGTTTTACAATTTCTATTTTTATTTAAAAAAAAACTACTGTTTAAAAATTCGATGAAATAAAATCTGCTAATTACAAAAACTAAAATGTAAACATTACAGTAGAGCGCCGATTATCCGAAAGTTAATCATCTGAAAGAATTCCAGTGGGCAAATTTAAATTTTCGCCAGTGCTGTAGCGCTGCAATCTTTGGCTATGTCTTGGGCTACTCAAATATTTTACGTTTTTGATACTAAATTAACTTCTGAAGTATAATTTTTTTATTGTTTTTATATTTTTCAATATATTTATTTTGTTCGTACAAAATAAAAAAATAATTTTTAACGATACAATAGTCTTCATTAGGCTTAACATTGACGAAAATTCAATGCGAAGCGACATGCAACGGAGAAAAATGTCAAGATGGGATAAATTAATATATTTTTTCGTACATAATCGGTTATCCAAAACATCGATCTTCCAAACAACCCCAGTCCCCAATTGATTCAAATAATCGACGCTCTACTGTATTTATAAAGAAAATTCAACAATGATAATTGTAAATGATTACAAATGTACTTTATCTTTTCTCAGTCATGTTAAGTGAAGAACTGCTGTAATTTTGTATGCTATCATATGATTAAATTATATGGATTATAATTACAACTTTGTCATCTGGAGTTTACACTAATATATAAGTAATCAATTACACCAAAGATATTCAGAAGTGTGAAATCAAACATTTAAATTCAAACATTAGCTTTGTAGACTTTACGGCTAATGTTTACTTTATGAAAAAGGTAATCCTCTTTAGTAACATTGGAAACATTTGATACTGTCATGCAATTATTTACTTAACATTAATAACCTTCACAAAAAAAATTGTAAATAATCAGACTCCATCTGTTTCACTGGGTTTTTACTCTCAAAATTTTTCTTAAATTATAATGCAATTTCTCTTCTTTGAATTTATTTTCATCTATTCTTTTTAGTGACTCATGAATCAAAACAACTGTTTTGCACAAAATGTGATGAGTGTTCTAAAAATTATGAAGCTACAAAAACAGACTGAGGAAATAGGGTTAGGGACAGAACACTCAAACCTTATAGTCCTTCAATTCATTTTATATAGTCCTTCAATCATCACAATATTCACTGCTATGGAACCTGAAGCAAATTTGTTGCTAGAGAAGTCCAAGTTGATAAAAATGGACCAATTCTGATCTGTTTTTTTTTCATTATGCATTTTACATTATGCTCCTAATAGGAGCATTAACTTATCTTGTATACATACTATAATGCAAGATCTTATTTTATTATCATTCTCCTACTTCATGATCATTCTTTGCTTATCACTAATTACTCTAAATTTTATTCCCAAAAACATACATTTGAATACATTCTGTGTTAGCTAATTCTAAATTTTTATCATCAAATGACTCATACAAAATGGCTAAGATATTTGGGTTAAATCTAACGTTTTTGAATACTCTAACTACAGCTAGAAAACTGTGTGTCAATGTGTGGCTGGAGTGAAAACCAGAAATGAATGTAGACATGCCTAATTTCTTGAAATGCCATATCCTCCAGATTGTCTTATTGCTACAATCAAAAATGACTGTGTATGCACCAAAAAATATCAGTCTCCATCTAAAATATATGCTGGCAAATATGGAAAAATTTATTGTTTTTCTTTTATGCCTGTCATAAGAGACTAAGTTATTTTGTACAAATTCAAAAATATCTGATTGTTCAAGAGTGTTATTTTATTATAAAAATTTGTAAGATTTTTATAATTACTGATGCAATTTTATCAGTTATAGTAAAGTTATGATGAATTTTATCACATCTATATATTTTTTAATTCTCATAAGTATTTAAAAAAGAAGTCATTGAAACACACAGTATCTACATATATAATCAAGATGGTTTGATAATAATAATAAGCAAGCACAAAGCCCAAACGGTTAGGAGTTGAAGGTTGAAATTTGGCACACAGTTAAGGTATGTCATGAGAACGTACACTAAAAAGGGATTTTTCGAAATTTTCCCCCTTGGGGAGAGGGACAGGATTAAGGCTTCCCATGAAGAACTCTGCTTCTAATATACTATTTTAGATGCAATTTTTTGCATTTTTGATTGCGTTTTAATAGGGTACATCATGAGGATGTACACTAAGAAGGGATTTTTCAAAATTTCCCCCATGGAGGAAGTGTTAAGAGAAAGCAAAGTGCAAGATTTACAGGCACAGATGCAGTTTTTTGCGTTTTGCAGGAAATCAAACATATTTTTAGACCCATCTAAAAATTTTCTAATTAGTCTGGAAACAGGGGAACCTAATTCTTGCATTATGTGAAAACAGGTAAGATTGGCTATATGTAATAATCTTAATCTTTGCTATTGTTACTTTTTGCCTGAGCAACTGTATTAAAGTATTAAACAAACAGCAAAAGTATTAAATACTAGCAATCTGCTAGTATTTAATACTTTTGCTGAAATTGAATTTAAAAAATTAACAGAAGTGCTTAAAACAATTGTGTTTAAGGATATCAAATATTAAAACATTACCACAAATGAACTTTAGTTTCTGAAAATAAATCAATGAAAAGTTCATTAACATTACAAAAATAAATTTTAGTGCATAACACATTTTTTTTTATTTTAGGAGAGAGAAAACCATGACTCGGAAGTGAGATATTCGAAATATTCTCTGAAGAATATTTTGAACAGTTTAATATTTTCCAAGATAGTCCTTCTGGAAGCAAAACGATAATTGGAAATATAAACAAATTCTAAGTTAAATACATTCCATTTTAAATAAAAATTTACCTGCATTGTAACTAACCGATCATCTACCATCACTTCCTTTGTAAGAAAATCTGCTCCAATAGTTGCTTTATATTGATTACTAAATTTCTTGTTCACATATTGATTCATTAGAGAGGTCTTTCCGACACTAAAAAGATAATACTTAATTAAAATTTGATATGAGATTATTGAATGCAAAAGTTCTTTACTAATAGTCAAAATTCAATATTTTACATAATTATTTAAATGTATATAAAATCAAAGTATTAAAATTTTTTTCATTAATCAATTTAAGATATAGCTAGCTATATCATATATATACAGAATACAGAATAATCATAAAACTCTTAACTAGTTACTCTAAGAGTTAGATTTGGATATATTATAGCTAGATAATCTGAAAATTATATTTTGTTTCTTAATTTAATTAAACAACAGAGACAATTATACAATTGAGTATCAAGATTTCTGATAAGTAGCATGATCAGCAATTTTACAGCTTGCACACTACCTGTGAAAATGAAAAACTATTAAAAATTAAGTTTTATAGTGATATTGTAACATTTTTTGTTTTTTTTTTAATAGTAGTTAAGTAATTGGTTTGTAGAAATATGTAAATAGTCAAAAATACAAGAAAGTGTATTAATAACAATTTAAAGCTTAACAGATAAAGTTATCAATCACAAAAATATAAAACCGCTCAAAAAATTGGTCTTTTGTGGTCAGAACATGCACTAATAGATACAAAAATATTTCTAAAGTATAATTCAGCACCTAACTTATAAAAATGTAATTTTAGAAAACTTGAGCTTCTAATTCATGGTTAACTGCAGAATAGCAATGAAGTCAATTTACATACTGCACACAAATATGGAATCATCATCTTTCTCGCAAGTTTGAAGTGTGGAAGTATTTTTTCTCTCATCATGCCTCATGGTACCCATTTAACAAAATTTGAAAAAGAACAAATTGACTTAAACCAGTGTTTCTCAAAGCTACATCAGGCAGTAGCAATCATCATCAAGTGTTCGAAAAAGACAGTTATGCATTTGTTGTCAAATCCTGCAAATTATGGACCAAAGTGTAGAAGGGGATGTCCTTCAAAGCTTACCCTGTGAGACTGCAGATGAATTTTTAATTAACATCTAATTCCACTGTGTCCATGTGTCAAATTTGGGTATTCAAGTACATCACAAAACCGTTCAAAGGGTTTTACATAACAACAACAACATTTTCCAGTTTTGAATGAGAAGTGCTCTTAAGCCTGAGCACAAAGCTGCCCGACTCGATTTTGCTAGGAAAAATATGGCCACTCAACAGAATAGGGTAAGTTTTTTGTTTCATTTAGACCAAGGGTTGCCAAACTTTTTTGATCATTGACCCCCCTACAAGTTTTCGAAACCTCACATTGACCCCCACCAAAAAGTTTGTTACAAGCAAAACAAAGTACTTACTATTTTAATACACTTCTTTTAATTTATTGTATATTTGTTAATAATAATTTTTGTAACTGACAATCAGTGAGATGGATAAGCTTGATAATTGACCCCTCAATAATGTTATATCAACCCTGGTTTAGTCCTATTGTGCTAGCACAAAAAATAATCTTTTTGTTGTACAGATAATCTTTTCAAACAAAAAATAAAATTTAATTTGGAAAGGGTCAGATGGTTTAGCATTCTATTGGAGTGATTTACATAAAAAGCAGAAGTACTTTTTGCAAAGGAACTTTGGTGATGGGAGTGTTATGCTTTGGGTGCTTTTTCTGCATTGAAAAAATTGGATCTGACATTTGTTACCTGTTACATGAACAGTGCCGACTATCAACAAGTTCTGGAGAAGAAATTGCTGCCATACAAACATAGATTCAGAAGAATTCCTCTTATTTTTCAACACGACAATGCCTCTATCCATGTATCACGAGATACAAAACCCTGGTTTGAAAATAAACAAATTGGCCAGTTCGTTCTCCTGATTGCAACCCTATAGAAAATGTTTGGGAATTCTTGGTTGACTGAATTTATGACCAAAATCATCAGTATGCCGACATTGAACACTTAAAACAAGCAATTGTCGCTGCTTGGAACTCTCGAGGCATTGATCATGAAAAATCTTGTTGAAAGCATGCCAAATTGCATTTTTGTTGTTGTTAGTAAAGGTGGTGTTGCAAATAAATTACTAAATTAAACTATTTTATAGTATTTAATTAATGAATGCATTTTGCATTCATTTACTAGTTGATTCTATACTTTTGTGCTTAAAATCAGTTTTTTTTTTTTTACAATTTCTGCTGTTTGCTGAAATATAGGAAACTGAGTTTTGACCAATTACATTTTTCGTTTTTTGAAATCGTGATTTCATATTTATTTACTGTTGAACACAAGACTGTGTTATTATTAAAACACTTGGCGTTTATCCACTTTATTCAGTTTATACAGGTACTTTTAACTGTTATTTCTTACTGTTATCAAAAATTGGTATAATTAGGTACGTTGTCAGTATGGGCGTGTATATTTATACAGAGTTTTATTGTTTAATTGAATGTATGTAGGTTTTGTGGTGTCAACGTCATCAACTTAATTTCCCGGTAAAGTGAATATGAACTTGTGCTGTAAGAGTGTCATTGCATATTTAATGGTATGTCTTAAATGTTATATGTTTTAGTTTTGTTATACAGTTTATTTTACAAAATGTAATAATCTATTGTATATGTTTCTTCTTATCAGTTGACTGATGATGGGCTATACGTGTAAAAGTACCCGTATCAACTGAATAAAGTGGATAAACGCCAAGTGTTTTAATAATAACACAGTCTTGTGTTCAACAGTAAAAAAATTACATTTTCATAAATCCTGAACAATATAGGAAAAGTAGCTACATCATACGTATAATTTCTAACCTTCATATAGTAAATTTGCAGCAGTTCTATACTTTTGTGGAGCATCTTATATAGTAAGATAGCTAAAATTTTAAATCACATCTCCCAAAGGTATGTTGTTATTTATAACAAATTGTATGTTGGTATTTAAACATTGAACTATACAGTACATCATTCAATCTGTGGCATTATGTCTTAGTTTTTTTTTTTTAAACTCTTGTCTACCCCTATATTTCTTGGGAAAGTACATTCTTGTTTCTTTGCATAACTTCAAATCTCAGGTTGCCCCCTATCTTCAGGTTGCCCTATACTTCTCCAACAAGAGGACATTTCTACCCATAGTCATCCAAAACTGGTCTAACAGTATTGTTCACATTGCCATCTCTGGTACCAATTGATTTTGTAACAAGTTTAGTTTTGGCCACAATTCTTAATTTTAATTTATTATTAATACTTATAATAAGCTTAGACATTAATACTATAATTGTGTATTGTTGGTTCAGAGTTTGTTATTCACATTTTTTATTCTAGTTACAACCAAGTTTGTTGGGGAGTATTATTGTTGAGTGGAAATCCCCACTGGCTGATATCCTGGATCTAGTGAAGTTTTTTCTTTGTGTTTTATTGTCTTTAATAAACTTCTTGTATTTTATTTACAAGGATATATAAATTCTTTGTCCATGACTCATACAATCTGTTGTAACATCTAAGATCTTATGAATTTGTAAAAAAAATCCTGAGGCAAACCCTTAAAGGGGCCGAAAATGCTTGTTCATTATATTAAACTGTTGCTGAAAAAGTATAAAAAGTGGATGTCATTCAATGTAAAATTTAAAGAAATGTTTGACAGAAGTTTGTTCAAAGTTAAATTTAGGCCTGTTAAATCAGAGATATTAGCTAATTAAAGCTAATATCTCTGATTAAACATTGAAACGAAAACATTGGGATATACTAAATTGTAATTATCTCAATAAAAAGCTTTTAATAAGGTAAAAAAAATATTAAACATTTATGCCATAATTTATAGTTATATATGTTTTCAGATGTAAACATCTGTAAGCCCAATAGTTATATTAAAACCAAACTGCAATATTAGATTGGGCTATATTACTGCTACTATTAATAATTAAATGCCAAGTAATTTGGCCTATAGGTAGATGTTAGGTGCCATCTCTTATTAAATTTAATTATTGTAACTAGATTAATATTTATTAATTTAGAAGGTTCTGGAAGAGAAGATCTGGACCAGAGTGAAACTCAAACTGGCAACTGCCACTTACACTGTCCAACCTCTTTCCAATCTTTAACTCAGAGTAATGACTGGGAACTGAAGTGATCAGTATGATTATATCTAAATTAATAGTTCTGGAAGCAAAGATCAGATGAATATACCAATAGTGTAACTGGCAACACTATTGCACACAGTAAGTGGCAGATGTGGATTTGAGTCCCACTCCAGGTTGATTCTTTTCTTCCAGAATCTTGTAAATTAATTAAATATTAATTTAATGAGACTGTGCATAATACCTATATCTAGGCCGAATTACTTAGCATTTAATTATTAATAGCGGCAGTAATATAACCTGATCTCGAACTGGAAATAATTATTTTCGGAAATAAAGAGTAATAAACCATCCTGCCTTCCATCTTGAACCACCTTCCACTGGCCAACTTATTAATTAATTAGATGGGCTCCTACCTCCTTCCTATTTGGTTACCTCTTCCTCCGTTATGTCAAAGACCCATATATCATCTGTCCTAGGCCACATTTCACAACCTGATCTCATCTGACTATTACAGTCAACCTCCCTATAACACTGTTGATAATTCTGTTTTATATAAATTCCATGTTGTACAAGTCACTTAGATTTTACAAATACGTGTGCTGGGCTGTAAATGGCTCACGTATTTATAAAATCTGAGTGACTCCTACAACATGGAATTCATATAAAATGGAATTATCAACAGTGTTATGGGGGGGTCCAACTGTATTTGGCTTTAGTATATTTTTCTTTAAATCTATCCAGTTTCTGCAATTAATTTTATAAGATTAATATAGTAAAGCATCACTAATACAAACGAGATTGAAGTGTGAATTTTGTTTGATAATCCAAACAAATCAAAAATCCAAATAGTTATTTTAGTATTTTGTCATCAGGGAGCTACAGGAACTATTTTCATTACTTTAGATTACTGTTTACATATATTGATGTGTTATAGATACAAAATAGAAAAACTGACTGATAAATAAAGGATAAACTAAACTTTTT